ATATATATATATATATATATATATATATATATATATATATATAAGTATTAAGTTTCCTAACATTTTTAAATTAATGATATATGTCAAATCAAGGATTTTACTACATAAGTTGTGTAAATATTTATGGTATAGAAATTTAATCGTCGAATTAATTAAAATGAGTGGATATTAACATAAGTTAAGTGAGGAGGATATATCACTCACTACCTGACATTGAAGTAAATTTGTGTACAAAAATATCACATGAAACCAATTCCGTATCTGATTCCCTCTCATCACCAACCAATTGGTCGTCTCTGTTCCCTCTGCAATTTTGTCTACTCTGCTCATGGAGGATCTGATTCCCGGCCTCACCAACGACGTGGCACGCGAGTGCCTCGCTCGAGTCCCCTTCATTGCCTTCCCCACCCTCTGCTCCGTCTGCAAGCTCTGGCGGCAGGAGCTTCGCGACCCGACGTTCCACCGATTCCGGAAATCCACCGGCATCGCACAACCCGTGGTCGTTGTAGTCCAGTCTGTGCCTGACATCGCCCAGTCCGCCAGGCCACGGCCTGTGGTCTACCGCCTCGTCATCTTCGAACCGGCCACCGGTGTTTGGAGCTCCCTACCCCCCAGCCCCGACCTACCCTTTGGCCCCCCGCTCTTTTGCCGGCTCGCCGCTGTTGGTACCGAGCTCGTCGTCGTCGGTGGCTGGGAACCGCGAAACTGGGCCACAACCGACAAGGTCCACGTCTATGACTTCCTAACCGGTGAGTGGCGCCGCGGGTCCCCCCTCCCGGACCCGCTGCGGTCCTTCTTCGCCTGCGCGGCGATGCACGGTTCCGACAAGGGCTGCCGAGTAGTGTACGTAGCTGGCGGGCATGACGAGAACAAGAACGCGCTGCGGTCCGCTTTCGCGTACGACGTGACGGGCGACTCGTGGAAGCCTCTGCCCGACATGGCGCGGGAGCGCGACGAGTGCTGCGCGGTGATCCTGCGCGGCAAGTTCCTCGTCCTCGGCGGGTACTCCACGGAGGCGCAGGGCATGTTCTCGCGGAGTGCGGAGGTCTTCGACGCGACCGCGGGGAGTTGGGGCCCCGTGGAGGAGGCCGTGCTGGAGAAGGCGGCATGGCCCGTGACATGCGTCGCGGGAGAGGACGGGAGGATGTACCAGTGCACGGGGAAGGAAGTGATTGTACGGCTAGAGGGCGGCGCATGGGCTACGGTGGCCGAGCTGCCAGGAGAAATGAGGCTGGTGCTCAACGCGGTGGCGTGGGAGGGGAAGCTGATGGTGATGGGGTTAGAAAGGAGCGGCGGCTCCCTTGTGGCGAACATTCTCGACATGAAAGCAACTACGACGATGACGACACCGGCTTCGGCGTCGTGGAGGAAGGTGGAGGTGCCACCGGAGTACCAAGGGCGCCTTCTGGGTGTGTGTTGCTTGGTGATCTAACCATGGAGCGTCTTAAGGGTTTGGAGATTCGTGCAGTCGTTGATGGTTTGTCATTTATTGTCGGATCAGGTGTTCAAAACCAAATTAAGCTTTAGATAACATCACACTGTAAATTATGTTACAATTTGTTGTTGTTATATATCTTATTTCTTTATATTTTAGAGAAAGATATTTTGCAACATCCTGATTACTAGTAAACATGCAAGGATAGGAAAAATTAGATTATATATTAGAGAAAGATATTTTTCAACGCCTCGCAAAAAGGATTTAAATACTATAAGTAAACCAAATAAAATTAAAACATTAAAAATCATTTTGATATTATATATATATATATATATATATATATATATTTATATTAGCTTAAAAGGAACATCATGGAAATATGTACTAAAGAGGAGGGTGAGGAGAAAAAGGAGGAAAAAGAAAAAAAGAATATATACGTCTATTTATAAATGGATAGTTTAAAAATATTTTAAAAAAAATAAAATAAGATTGTAAATATTAAAAAAGGGATTACAAATGGTAATCTTGGTTTTATCCTTTTCCCTACTTAGGATGAAAATGTGCTTAGATTTTTGGTTAAGACCTCGTCAAAATACATGAATATGTTCTTTTAGGATGAACTGAACTGATTTAGTTTACTAAAATCCTACTTAACAAATTTATTCTCAAAATTTAAATAAATTACACTTGATTATATCATACATTCAAAATATCTCTAATTTTAATAATCCCAAAAAATTTGAAAATTTGATATTTAATTATCATATAATTCTTAAAATATAGAAAAAAATTATTAATCTTCTTAAAATTATGGCATAGTTATTATATGAATGTTAGGGTTGGTTTAGTGAAGATTGATGAAGTTACATTTAATATTAAATTAAATTATACTCAATTACAGGACCTATTAAAAAACTTTTGAAATTTAATAATTAGTTATCATAAAATATTTTAAATATAAAAGATGGTACAAATCTTCTTAGAATCATAATTAGATAGTTTAGTAAAAGTATAAGTTGGTTTAATAAAAGTTGGCTAAGAAATACTCGTAATTGGACTAAAATATTCAAAACAATTTATAATTTTAATAATTAATTATCATAATATCATAAAAATATAAAAATAAATACTAATTATTTTTAATATGCCCTAATCATTTTGTACAAGTTGTTGGTTTAGTGAAACTTGATCAAATTATTCTAAATAATGAAATAAGTTATACATGATTATAATACCGATTAAAAAAATCATAACTTTTAATAATTAATTATCATATATTCTCAAAAAATAAGAATTAATATTAATCATCATAGTTATTTTGTGAATTTTTGTGTTAGTTTGGTAGAATTTGACCCAATTACAGTCATTTCATAACTCATCCAAAACATCCCAAAATTGAGTTTGGTTCATAGGTCTTTTTTTGGTCATAAAGAAAAAAAAAACCATCATCCTATAAAAAGTGAATAGTGAAAACTTTCTTAATAAAATGACCAATAAACTAGTGGTGTATAATAAGTTAATTGTTGAATTAAGTTAAATTTAAATTTTCAATATTGTGGTATTGAAAGGTAATCATCAAATTAAGTTAAATAAGTAGATAATAACATTAGGTAAGTGAGTAAGACTATCTTAGGCTTTTGCTTAAATGACTTTTGGACGAAAAAAAATGCAAAAATCGATTCTTTTAGAACGAACCGATTTTGTTTGATTCAATAACGTCTTACCTAACCAAGTTAGATTCAAAATTGAAATAATTTATGCTTGATTATAAACACTATTCAAATAATAATTATTATGATAATATCAAAAATCTTAAATTTTGATAATAAGTTATCATAAATACCATTAAAATAGTAAAAAACAGTACTCATCAGGTAAAATTATGCTTTAAGTTGATTAAGACATATTCAAAATTGAACTAAATCATACTATACCATAGAGCCTATTCAAAAAATTTTACTTTTAATTATTGATTATTATAAATTTTAATGATAAAAATCATGTTAGAATTATGGCCAAGTAATTTAGTAAAAGTTTGGATTGGTTTGATGAAAGTTGACAAAGTCATATTCGAAATTATATTAAATTACACGTGAACATATTAAAAAAATACTAGTCATCTTAAAGCATGTCCTAATGATTTTGTACGTAAATGGTTGGTTTAGTAGAAGCTGATAAAATTACATTCCTAATTAAACTAAGTAGCACTACAATAAAATACCGATTAAAAAACATAAAATTTGATACTTAATTATTGTAAGTTTTTTTAAAAAAAATAAAAAACATATAATAATATTAGTCATCTAAGAATCATCATGTTCTTTTCACATAAAATGACCAGTTATTCTTCTCTTTTTCAGACATCACGTGGTTAAAAGCCTCTATAACGAACAAAACTGTAGCAACGACCATACACTGGTATTAGAAATTAAATAAAACCTTACATGTATGTATTTATTTATAAGTGATCAATTATCAATAAAGTTACCCTAACATTTCTAAATCTATGATATATGTCAAATCAAGGATTTTAGTAGGCCATATAAATATTTATAGTATAGAAAAAAATAAGGGAATATTAACATAAAGGTAAGTGAGGAGAAGATTTCGTGTGCAGTATTGTATGAATAACTCCGCTTCTCCTCCTCATCACAACCCATTCCCTCTTGATTGTATAGCACTCTGCCCATGGAGGATCTGATTCCCGGCCTCACCGACGACGTGGCACGCGAGTGCCTCGCTCGAGTCCCCTTCAATGCCTTCCCTACACTCTTCTCAGTCTGCAGACGCTGGCGGCAGGAGCTTCGCGACCCGAGGTTCCACCGGCTCCGGAAATCCAACGGCCACGCTCAAGCCGTTGTCGTTCTGGTCCAGTCTGTGCCTGACTTCGCCCGCTACACAGGGCCACAAACCTTGCCCTACCGCCTTGTCATCTTCGAACCGGCCACCGGTGTTTGGAGCTCCCTCCCACCCTGCCCCGGCCTACCTCATGGGCTCCCGCTCTTCTGCCGGCTCGCCGCTGCCGGTACCGAGCTCGTCATCATCGGTGGATGGAAACCTCCCGAGGGGGCCACAACCGACGAGGTCCACGTCTACGACTTCGTATCTGGCCAGTGGCGCCGCGGGTCCCCTCTCCCGAGCCCCCTGCGGTCCTACTTCGCCTGCGCGGCGACGCACGATTCCGACGAGGGCTGCCGAACGGTGTACATAGCCGGCGGGCATGACGAGAGAAAGAACGCGTTGCGGTCCGCGCTGGCGTACGACGTGGCGGGTGACTCGTGGAAGCCGTTGCCCGACATGGCGCGCGAGCGCATCGAGTGCCACGGGGTGACCCTGCGAGGTAAGTTCCTCGTCCTTGGCTGGCTCGGGGCAGAGGCCTTCGACGCGGCTGCGGGGAGTTGGGGCCCCGTGGAGGAGGCCGCGGGGGAGGAGTTCTACTACTCCAAGACGTATGTCGCGAGAGAGGACGGGAGGCTGTACCGGTGCTTGGGGAGGGAAGTGATGGTACAGCTGGAGGGTGGCGTGTGGGCTAAGGTTGCAGAGCTGCCGGGCGAAATGAGGAGGGCGCGATACGCGGTGGCGTGGGAGGGAAAGCTGATGGTGATGGGCTTGGGGCACGATTATGGCTTTTTGGCGAACATTCTCGACATGAAAGCGACTACGACGAGGACGACAATGGCTGCGGCGACGTGGAAGAAGGTTGAGGTGCCGCCGGGGTACGGAGGATCCGTTCTAGGAGCGTGTTGTTCGGTGATCTAAGCATGGGGCATCGTCAGGGTTTGCAGATTCGTGCAGCCGTTTACGGGTTATGATTTGTCATTGGACGAAGGGTTCAAAATCAAATACAACCTTGGGGTAACTTTATGTTGATAGATCATGTTACAGTTTATTGTTATATGTCTTTTTCGAGGGGTAAGATTTAGGGTTCGAGAGAAACATATTCCGTACCATCTTATTTGATAAATATATTATTATTAATTTGATCACAAATATTTTAAATTTGATAAATTATGAGTCGATTATCATACATGATACAATCATAAGAGATATTGTTGTGGGATCTAACCACTGGGTCAATTCGATTTAGTCAAGACTTCAAGGCACAAGAGCATCCGAAAAACCCACACAACAATCTTACGAGACGATTGATCGGGCCTCGAGGTGATACCAAGATGGTCTTTCAGGTGGAGTTCGAGCATTTCAAATGAATCCAAGATTGGGCTATGTTAGGAGGTGTTTTCCGATATGACCCCTTTGAAGTTCAGGTTAGCTTTAGAGAGATTTGTGGTCTTACATTTCTTATAATTAGATTGATTGATAATTTTAATACTAAGCCTACCAAACTGATTATTAAATTTATAATAAAAAATCATCTTTTTTACTAAATATGGATTAGATGCAAATACAACTCTATCTCAAATAGTAGTAACAAGATACTACTAGCCTAAGATTAAACTAAATAGAAGAAAAGAAGAAATCGAGATGGAAGTAAAAATAAGAATATATTAAACTTTTCAAAAAAAAAATATTTATAAAATCTTACATCTAACCCTAGACTTGAGCCTTATAGGCATGTATACTTGAAACTTGGATATGTCTGTACATATAGGTTTCACCTACTTATAGGTTGTTGTTTGAATGTCATTGACTGAGTCGGTACAACTGGTCTTGACCTGAAGGTGTGAGGTTATTCGAGAAACCCTTGTGGCGATCTTGCACGACAGTTGATGTGGCACTAAGGTGTCCAACATGATCTTTGAAGTGGCTTCTAAGGATTCGAGATGGTCCCAAAAGTTAGCCATGAAGTTTCCAGATCTGATCCTTCTGACACTCAAGTTAGCTCTTTCGGGATTATGAGTAGTGTGGAAGGTTTTGGAGAGAGGCCCGACCTTTGGGCAAGTGTTAGGGATCGGCTTTTATAATCAAGTGGTAAAGGAGATCACTCGTAACTGTCATAAAAGCCTCCCCTTGCTTTGCATACATGGGCGACGGAGTCAA